TGGCTGTGAATGGCTGCGAATAGGAAGGCGTGCCACGCTGTTGGTTTGTAAGGCAGCAGTCCTTGGCAGCCCGACTCCACCACCATCTGGCGCTAGGGGGTGGCTGCGTAGTGGCGATGCAGCACAGCCTCATGAGCTTGTAATCAGCACGTGACGTGGATGGATGTGATCTTGTGAACAGATTGCTGGCCTGTTTGAGTGCGAAGTGAAGGGTGATGTGGAAAGTAGTACGTATGGCTTTTGCAGCATCATGGATGACCCTGTTGGATACTCCGATAATGGGACAGTGTGGTGTAAGAGTGATGTCGCCAGACGTAATACAAAAATTCCACGGGGTTATCTGCAGAAGCCGCTGCCTGTAGAAGGATTCAATAATGAGTTGACCCAAAACAAGAGTCTGTTGTTCACGTGTATGCATCCGTTTGGGTGCATAGGTTTCTAGTATTTGTATTCCATACACTCCACCAGTCAAACGATAGCGGCATCACCAAATCAATGGCATTGAACGTTGCCAAGCTCCTGCCACAAGACTACTGCAGCGCCTGCAAGCGATCGGCAACCCTCCAGTTCATCTCCACCAACAACATGTGTTCCCTGCACACCATCGAAGCTTCGCTAACGTCAGGAACCTTAACGGTTTGGCCCGTCTCCGCGCACAACCTTTGGTTGGAGCAGTGACATCATAAGCCGACCACTTTCTATTGCCCCTCACGTTGCCGCCATCCATACGCTACAACCATACGGCGTAACTTGGCGGCCAACCTGAATCGCAGGAGAAGATGCCATTTGGTGGGAAGCGTCTCCCGTCACAATTATGTATATGCGGTGCATGTTGACCCAGTGTCAGATGGGACCGTTTAAAACTTTGTGATGCCAGCCAAGAGCGCAAGGCTTGGAGGAATGAGATGCAGCTAATATATATTGAGGCTTGATACAGCGACAGATGCAACGTCCCATAACTACTACTACTAACAATCTGTTATCAATTGCCGTCATCCAACTCGCACGCGAGACGCATAACCACCAGCCGCATACGCCATACATCCAGCCCGTGTCGATCGGACAAGGCTCGAAAACAGGGCCAAGGGCAAACAACGCAGCACAAGAGCCCAGCTCCTCGAAAGTACGCTGGGCACGCAGAGACTCAAAGTCATAAACGCCACTCCGTCCCCCGCACGCACGCACACGTATCTTGCAAAACACATAGCCCAATTCCAAAATGTCGTCCTACGACTCCAACAAATCAAACTACCTCCACACCCAACACCAGCAACCCCATCAAGCACCGCCCTACCCCACGACTCCCAACGCGCCCACATCTGGAACTTACTTTTCGCAAATGGCTCAACAGCAATCTCAGCAAATGTACTCCTCCTCGCCTCCCTACACCCAGCCTTCATTCCCCCACCAACAATCGTGCCATCAACAAACCCACCACGCCCGCACATCCTCGACATCCTCCATGTCGCACAGCTACCCCCCACCCCCCGGACCCCCACCCACCTCGCAATCAGGCCAACAGCCAATGGGCATGCCAATCCACCAACCCACCCCGCGCCACTACCACCCTTATGCATCTTCCTACCCCCCTCCTGCTGCTCCACCAGCAACAACAATAAATCACATGCCGCATACGCGCTCAATGTCAACATACAGTCAGCATCATGAAGACGAGAATGGCAGCAAGTACGGGAACGGAAGTGGGAATGGGAATGGAAGCGGGGAGTTGGATTCAGAGACGGAAAGAGAGTATAAGAAGAGGTATGCGAGGGAGAAGAGGGTGGAGAGGCGACCGACGCTGGGAGGCAGTTTGTTGAGTATGGTTGATGCGGTAGGGAAGGCGTTTGGAGGAGGTAGACATTGAGGATTGAAGCTGCTAGATATTTGACTGCATCGTTGTGAGGAGAGGGAGGGGGCATGAGATTACATGTGTGGTGTGGAATTTGATACCCAATGTCGTTTTTTCTTATTCCTTTTATAATTTTACTCACGAAGTATACGACTTAACCATCAACATCAAGAAAGTCTTTTAAAAACATTGTATTGAATTCAACATAAAAACAAGTTCTATTCGCATCTTTTCCAGAGACGCAATGACGTGGGAATATCCAGAGACAATGCTAATGTTGGTAAGAAAAAAAGAAATCATACTTTCTACTGTACAATGGATAGGTCCACGAACCGGCCCGTCCCAACATACACACAGAGAAACCTTCCCTTCTCTATAGTAAAACAAAACACACAAACACACAAATGTGTCCCAATTCGAGCTTCAGCGCTTGAAGCCGATTCTAAAAGCCGGGTTGGAATTTTTCTCCCCATCCCACTTCCAAATTGGTGAAAGACGAGATATGGCGAAAGCTGATAACCAAGTAGCTTTNACATGTCAAGTCCAGCCACTTGCAATCCTTCTCCTACCCCCTGGNCCAATAGTGTTCATCGTCCCGTTTGTTGCTCCGAGAAAAAACAGCTATGTACCTAAAAAGAAGAAGGGAGCCAACAAAACACCGGAGAACGACGGCAAAAAAGGGCAGTATCGGGGGAATGAGAATCAGGAGGAGATAAAAAAAAGAAAAAAAAAGGAAGTAGAGCAACAAGAAGAGTTGAAGGGGGGGAGAGGGAAGTCGGACCGCGCACACCGTGATTGCTGACCTGGAGATCGCGAAAAAACCCGGAATACGGCCGTTTTTGGGCGACATTTCACTGGGTTAATGCAACTAAGTAACCTTTGCGGATTCCGGTAGAGTGGAACCGCTTGGAATAAATTTAGCGCAATCGGTGGTCCCCCCCGTACAGATTTGCGAGCATGCATGCATGCAGCGTGGGCGTATATAGGGCACAGTTCGTCGTTGGAAAGGTTGAGGGCCTGGTCATGAAGCGGGTCGTTTTCGAGAAGAAAAAAAAAACGTGGAGTCCGGGAAGATCAGTTGAAGATCTCGCCAATGTGACGGAGGTGCTGGGGCTTCCAAGTTCCTGTTGATCAATGTTAGAAAATCTCGGTCATTGACAGAATGCGGAAAATAGCTCGGACGGTAGTGCATGGGGAAGATAAGCAGTTGTGCCGTGCATCGCCGAGCAACCCGTTTCTCTCGTGTTGATATCGTATTAAGCCCGTCAGATTGGGTATAGAGCGAGTGAGTAAGCTCCGGGTAGTAATAATTAGATATTAGAACGAGCGAACGGTCCCGCTACGCATTTAGTGGCCACATTTTTCGTGTAAGCACTCTAACGAATGACGCACCAACGCTATGGCGGGACTGTTGACAAGACTGTTGACTGCCCTTGGGAGGTGCTCTTGTGGGGAGAAATATAGCGCTAAACTTAACCAGTTCCAAAAGAAAAAATACGCCATGCGGCGCTACAGTAAAAATAGAAACATGAAGTCATAAGGCGCAGCAATGCTACTGGGATTCTTGTCGCTTACCTTCAAAGCTGTGCTTGACAAAGGCCATTGGGTCGTCTTCTTCGCCGGCACCCATGGTCTTAATTCCAGGGCTGAAGCTGGTAATGGGAAGGACAATTACATCGCCAACCTTCTTGGGGGCCTTCATTCCAGTAAAGTTTTCCCAGGTGATATTGCCCTTGCTTGTGCTCATATCAAAGAAGTCAGGGTTGTTGAAGTAGGAAAAGATGGTGTCTGTCCATACGGCTGGGCCAGTAAACTCAACAATATCCTTGTGGTTGTCGGAGAGCTTGCCAGCGCGCTTGCGCTTCAGGGTCTCCTCGGTGATTCTGGCCACGACATCGATCAGCACGGGGTGGCCGGGCTTGGACTGGATGGTCCACTGGCAGAACTGGATGCGGCGAGAGTACCAGTCGGCCCAGTCTGGGCGGTCTGGGTCTGCCTCGATGCCAATGACCATGCCGTATGAGTTTGCGGCAACGTCGGAGGGAATCCACTCAAACGCAGGCTTCAAGGCGGTAGTGTCAATATCCGAGTAGATACCACCGCGGGCAAGAAGGATGAGGTAGCGGAAAAAGTCTGCCTTGAGGACGGGGGCTGGCAAGGCATTGTAAGCCTCAATGACTTCAGGGACCGAGGCGTACAGGTGTCTGATCAAGTGGAGGGCGACATCGTCGGTGATAACCTCGTGAACAAAGGACGGGTGGTGAATGGTCCAGCTGGCCTCTGGCTCGCGGAAGATTTCCTCAAACTCGCCAGATTGGGGATTGTGCTTCCAAGTCTGCCAGACGTAGGCGGGAGTCTTTGTGTCGACGTCGTAGGGGAATTGGTACTCGAGTTGTTCGGTGAGGGGCTTCTTGCGGAGCTCGTCGAGGCTGACCTGGGTCTTTGGCTTCTTCGAGGGCGTGTCGGGGACATCAAACGACTTGTCTGACTGGTCTGCCTTTGTGGGCTTCTCAGCGTGTTTTTGTGCCTCCTTTTGCTTCGCTTTCTGCTTTTCTCGCTCGCGGTCGGCGGGATTGACCCAGGCGGTGGGACGGGGCATGTCATGTGCATTGCGGTACTTTGGTGTTGTGCTGCCGTGGTGTTGTGACTTGAAGATGAAGAATAGGGTCAGGCAGGCGAGCGAAAGCACGAGGGCTTTCTTGAAGGTGAGCATGGTGGCGGGATGTTCGCAGCGAACGGTGGCGGCGCGAGGAGAATACGTTGCAGATGTGAAGGGTCGTGTGCCAATGGGTTACTCAATGTGTTGAACCGAGTTGGCGAAACGCAGGGTGGTTCGGGGATGTAGGGGGAGGTGAAGAGTAGCGAAGGGTAATGGTAAGGGTATAGTCGAGGCCGTTGGGAAAGACGGGTGGATACGGGACCGAAGTTTAATTCGACCAAATAAAAAAAGAGGGAAGGCGCAACAAAGTGGGAGAAGCAATGGAGACGAGAGGAAGTATGGGTGAGTCGCGCGAGGAACCAGCACCGCTTACATACATGGACAGGACAGCGACCAAAAAAAACCCGGGCTAGCAGCGGCGCGCTATGGCGGGCTTTTTGAATCAACAGGGCCTGGCGACAGAACAGAGGGCACGCCAGGATGCGACGCGTTTCAGAGCGAGCATCCCGCGCTCGGGCCAGGCGCGGCGGGCTGGTCGTCGACGACTTGGGCAAGGCTTGTGTACGCTTGCAGTTGCATGACTCCTGCAGTCAGTAGAGTACTGACGGGCCAGCGAGGCGGTCGGCGGGCCATGACACTCTTTTTTTCCAGCCCGTGTCTGCTTATCACCCAAACAGGCACAGTAGAGTGAGTAGTGCTTGTACGAGTAATCATTGCAGTTGCAGTTGCAGTTGCAGTGGGCAGCTGGCAGTGCCTCGCTTTGGCAGCATGGCCGGCAGGCTGTGCATTGCCGCCACCACGCACCACCGAAGCAGCTTTTGCCCCGACAGGCCCCTCTCTCGCTCGCTCAGCCCGCTCTAGCCCTGGGGAGGGTCATGCAGTTGCGGTGGTGGTGTTACAAGGGTAGATGGGATGGAAACACAGATACTACGTACGTGTGTGCTTTGGCATGGCCGTGATCTCTTCCGCACGGCAGTCCAGGGGCCGGATTCGCCGTGGTGACGCGCGTTCGGCTGCTNGCTTGGCTGAAACGCCGTGCTCTTGCCCGATGGGGTTTAGTCCTCCCGCCGCTAAAGTNGATACAAACGCTCCCAGGGCAAAAAAACGCGCGGTGGATGACGGTGCAGCAAGTATCGCAAGTACTTGGATGCGAATGGACACACTACTGTATCTACTATCTACACATGTATCTGCTGTCACCACCACGCCCGGCTGGTCGACCAGCTGACTGGTCAGCCTCCGTTATCGCAGCTATCGCAAACGGGCAGGTCCCGTCAGCACGCCAATCACCCACCGCCTCATTCCCTTCGATCCATCCATCCATCAATCATTCGCCGCATCCACACTTATCCTGACGCCATGCAACACGGCAATATCCAACGCCATTTTGTCGAAACAAACCCCGGTCTTGGCAACGACGTGCAACGCGGCACTTTGTCCTCATCCCCCTCGCACCATTGCACCAACCACAGCCCCCCGATACCCTTCCTTCCGTCTTTGTTCCATGCCCATTCCACCAAACACACTTTCATGCCGCCACTCGACTCACTCTACCTTGTGCATCCTCGTGCACATGCCCGCGCTTCTCTTCAACCACTACGACATGTTCCATCTACATGAAATCTCGATTCATTCCCCGCGCAATGCCACGTTCCCCCCATCCCCATGGTTCGGTCATCTGCCTCTCCGTCCGCGTCATCGCATCTTCTTGTCCGCGTAAGGCGTCACAGGATGCTGTGTCAATGTTTCAGCTACCCGCCACATGTTCTCTTCTTCCTTCCACCATCGACACCCTTCTACTTGGTACTCTTGACTTGGCTGCACCTGCCTTCTTGTTCCTGACCTTCGTTCCTGACCTGCTGACTAGCCGCTGGGGGTTCGCGGCAAAAAGCATCGGGGCTTTTTCTTGTCCCTGCACCACTCCTCTTACTCGGTCTACTTACATGTTTGTAGGGCTGCGAT